ACAATACGTTTAGACAGCGTGATGCGCTCGTTCGTAATGAAGCATTTCCAATTGTTGGATTTTTATTTTATTACTATTCACGGCATTACCAACATAATTGTTTGTGTGAAAAAAAAGGTTAGACTCAGAAATCGATGTCAAATACGTATTAAAAAATCGACGATCTATCATTAATTTTTGATTCATCAGCTGAATTCACTTTTTGATAACGTGTAATAATTGTTTGCCTTGCGATTTTCATCCGGTCAGTCATTGATGCGTCGTATCTCGTAATTTACATTTTCGATCAACGAAATGTTTCTTTTACCGTAAATTCTAAAGTGATGTAGTCGTCTGAACTCTCGTTGACACGTTTGTTCTAGTTGAAAGAGAATTTGTTCTCCGGAAAATACTTCAGGAGACTAAAGACCGAAAGAGGCATTACTTAAGGGTGCCTTATGAATAGCAGAGATGATGAATCTTCTGAAGTGGTATCGTCGGAGGAGAAATGTGAATGTCGTGCACAAGGTCGCTGATGAGACAATGAATTAATTGTTTTTTCATTTTGTTCGGCGAAATTTTAGTGAATGCACTTTCTTGTAAGCCAGCCGAAAATCGCACGTTTCCTGCAGATTTTTGTGGAATGTTCACATTTTTGAATTCAGCTGAATTTTTGTTCTGTTCAAATACACTGCCAGTAACAACATTTGTTCATTGCACTTACTAATCAGTTAATGTCAACTGTTACCGATAATACACTCACTCATTCAGACACAACGTCAGCTCAGTTTTCAACTGAAAAATCAATGAACTCGGCTGAAGATATCGAAGCATCGACATCAAGCGAAATCGCTCAAGAAAGCACATCAGAGCAACAACCACGAATCACCTCGTCGAATCGTAAGCGGTGTGCGAGTGATGATGGCACTGCTGATAATAATGATAATCATCGTAAGAGAAGTAAAAACTTGACTCTGGTTAAAATCGTTGACAGTAATGAGAACGATGCGGCTGATCGAGTCGTTGAAAAGAGTGCTGCCGACAGAGGTGATCGCGGAACGAGAGAATCGAGTCTGGAGTATTGTGAAGAGATACCGTCACAGCGCAGTNTGCCAGTAACAACCTTTGTTCATTGCACTTATTAATCAACTGTCACCAATAACACACTCACTCATTCAGACACAACGTCAGCTCAGTTTTCAACTGAAAAA